TTGGCTATGTAAGCTTTGAAGAGTTACCTGCACACACGTGTTGTGCGTTATGGAAAAAATATTCACCGAATTTTTCATGTTATTATCAGCCTCGTACGATAAGTGATGGTGCTAAATATTCACACACCTCATGGTTTCTCTATAAATAGTATTTATGCTGGGATATTTTTTACATTCATGCACTATAACTCGTCCACCACTGTCTGGGCCAAGTAGTTTGTACAAACTTTCAAATGTGCAGTGTGTTCTGGCATTATTATCACTGAGCGAAAACCACCAAGTTATCCTCCATAACCAGTCATGGGCACATTACCAGTAAAGAGTAACAGTGTTACAGTTACTGAAGCTAAAAAATAACTCTGTTACAGTTACAGTTACAGTGAAAAGGTAACATTGTTACTTTTTTGTTACTGTATAAAAAATTATTATAAAACAAATGATATATTTTAATTAATGAAGACGAAGGAAGGCATGCAGGTAGTGAAAGTTGCTTGTGGTGAAACCGTAGAACGATGCTGCACAGGGCCATATTTTCAACCTAAACAATGTGTGTGTGGAGGCTTCTGAAAACGTGGTTCATTCGCTACGACGCACCGGCTTGCAACAGCAATCCGCAGCCCCCTACCGTATGTTTCCAAGCACATGTGTGACTAATGAACTGATCGACCTCTGCTTATTTTTATTTTTTGCCAGCGTCTACTGAGAATAATAGGAGGCGAAACGTCAATCACTTTGTTATTGTTGTTTTTATTTTAATAAATAAATAAAAATAAATTGTTGTGTTAACTTGTAGACCTTTCACAACCGGTTACAAACCCGTTTTAAATGCTTTAGGCTTTCAGCAGTTTTATGCTGCTGTTTTCTAGCCACCTGTCAAACGCGACTTGCTGGAAGCGTCAGACAGAAGAATGCTCCACGTTCATACCAAGAAAAAGAATAGAAGCTCAAGTGACAAAAAGAATATATATATTTCCCTTCCCACCCACCTCCCACAAAAAAAAAAGCCAGGGAGGGAGGGTGGGGCACGTGAATTTGGCAACATGTTCAGTGCCAACATTATTGATTTGCGACATGTATTTTTGCAAATAAACATACCTTCCAGACACACTTCACTTTAAACCAGCCAGACAGATCTCTGTCAAATATGTTTACCTTTAGACATGTAGTATACAAGTAAACTTCGAACTCGGTCTTCTGCAGGGAAGATATTCCTCTTAGCGACCTGTTCTCTTACACTGTGATGGGAGCCTTGGAATGTCAAAAGGTGGAGAGGATATTGTAAAGGAGAAAGCTTGAAAAAATGAAAAGTGTCTAACGTTGACCTTTAACGAGTGTGGCTTTTGGATGATTTTTTACAAAAACAGAAGTAACTGTAACTATATTTTTCGTTACAGTTACTCAGTAAAAAAGTAACAGTGTTACAGTTACAAGTTATTCAAAATAAAAGTAATTAGTTACAGTTACAAGTTACTGAAAAAGGTAACTAGTTACTGGTAATGCGTTACTAATAACTAGTTGCTGCCAAAGACTGTCCCTAACCGACCGAGTGGCATGCGTAGCAGAGCTGACTCTCAGGTTCTTTGTAGGGCGTGGCACAGTTCTCATGTCTAGGCTGCTGTGCGTGTGGGCACCTATGCGCATGCGTTTGCCGTGACCGTCAACTCTTTTGCGTTAACTGGAGACCGTCAACTCTTTTGCGTTAACTGGAGCCATCCCCCTGCATGTGATGCGTCTCCTGGACGCTCTGACACGTGGTTTCTCAATCTGGGTTCCATGAGCGACAGAACACGTGCAACTGGCTCCCGGTGTACCCCCATTCGATACTATTTTGGCAAGTTTTCATTGCATTTTGAAATTTAAAGAACCACCGGGCTCCAAATATGCACATTGATGTGCGTAGGTAGTGAGAGACCCACCTTGTTATTTAGGCACCCGTGGGAAGCGCTGTGGTTTGTCTCTCCTTCTCTTGTGTCCAAGTAGTCGTGTGCTGTGTTGAAATACGTTCAAGTACGGCATCCGTAAATTCGGCGCTTCGTTTGCGGGGACACGTTGCTTACCTGCTTAGCGCGGTGCGAACGTTTTACGCGAGTCGCGGAGCGGCACGTGTGGCAATTGGGAGTTCTACATTAATGGTGATAGCCTACGATATGAAAGAAAACAGAACAGGCTAACATGGGCAGTATTAATAACGCATGGTTGTGCGAGTCGAGGGGTGTTATCAGTACCACTCGCTTATCACGTATGTAGTGCCATATGCACGCACTTTACGAGATAGTTGGCACGACAAAGTTTCTTGGCTCCAGCGCTGCACTCTAAAAGTGGTCCTGCACAAGGCGGCCACAAACGGCCGTGCAGCGCGCTTTTGTTGTCTGTTAAGGCATGACCACGCGTAGCAGCAAGTCATTGCGTCGCTTTATGAAGGTGCGGCACTCCCTCTCTCTACGGAGAGAAAAAGTGTGCAGCTTGGCTTAGCCGTGTGCCCTTTCTCTGCAAAGGGAGAAGGCACGGCGCCACATCAGAAACCCACATGCTGCAACGGGTACGTGCGGTCAGGCCTTTAAAAGCTTGCTTGACGCTTTCATGTCACTTTTCATAAATGAATACCCACTGTTACCTAACTACAATTCTTGTCCAATTGCAATTAAAATTCTTCATGAGTGCGATGAATTTTTCTTGTTTTTGGTGAACCTAGTTTTCAAGAGTTTTTTTTAATACTGTTTCACATGTTTGTTACTAGGGCTGTATATAAGTCACATGGTATGCAGAAAGGTAATAATACCTTTAATTCCAGAGCAGTTAAAAGTGGCAAAAGTCACTTCAGTACATAAAGGTGGTGATATCAATACTTTGCGCGAACTATGGACCTATATCCGTGCTTCCAACAATATCAAAAATATTTGAAGGGGTTATTTATGATAGACTTGCATCCTTTTTTTGATAAGCATCAAATAATAACAAAAAGTCAGTATGGTTTTCAAAAAAATAAATCAACAGAACAAGCTCTACTGCATATCAAAGATAAGATAATCAAAAATATGGAAAACAAAAAATATATTCTTGGGCTCTTCCTCAATCTTCAAAAGGAATTTGACTCCATACAATTCAAATCATTCATAAATTATCAAGTTATGGGGTGTGTGGAGTTGCATTACAACTGTTTAAAAGTTACCTTGAAGATCGTTATCAATATGTACAACTAAATAACACTATTTCTGCAAAGATAAAATTAAACCAAGGAGTCCCCCAAAGGTCTATACTGGGGCCATTATTGTTCTTTTCATCAGACAATCTAATATCACTTGAGGTCAGTGTAAATAGTTATCTAAGCAATCTTTCAAATTGGTTAACGCAAAATAGACTGCGCTTGAATGCAAAAAAAACAACCTATATGATATTCCGACCTATAAACAAACCTATTAATAATATAGCTGTAAAATTCGAAGGAAATTGCATCGCACATGTTAGGGAACAAAAGTTTCTTGGTGTATGGTTTCAGGAGGAATTAAACTGGAACACATATGTAAATCATCTGATCACCGCATTAGCACGAATAGTTGGTTGTTTTTTTAGAACAATGCACTTAATCCCACTGAGGTTAAAAATAAGTATGTACTTTGCACTCTTCCATTCTAACGTAACTTATGGGATGTTAGTCTGGGGAACGACATCACAAGGGAATTACCATAAGTTAATAACTATACAAAAGAAAATATTGCACTGCTTTGAAAAATACAGGGGAAATCTACAAGACCTGTGCACTGCTCCACTATTCATTAAACATTCCATACTCAGAATTGATCAATTATATCATTTTAAATTGCTTAAGTTAATATAAAAAAATAAGCTATACAAAGAAAGTTGCATCGAAAAACCACACTACAGTCTGCGAGAACAAAAGAAACGAGCTCCTAGAACAAGAACCAAGTATGGAAAGCAAAGTGTTGCTTACCAGGTACCTCAGGTTTTAAATACCCTCGCAGATCAATTGAACTTTAGGGCTAGTAGTGCGACTTTCAAGAAACAAATAAAGAACTTATTCATAACCACTGGTCTACACTATCGAAACTACTTAATGGAGTGTCATGCCTCTGCAAATGCTTAAATTGTTCATAAATTTCTATGTCAATTATACAAGTGTATACAGTGCAATTCGGTGTATCCGCATGCATTTTGTATCTGTTTTTGAGTTGTTTCATTGATATCGTTTAGCTGTGAATTTTTACGAGAGTGACCTCTAATTCTTAAAATGTGTTATGTAAACTTCTTATGCTATTTATGTTTGAATTTTGTGTGTACGATTGCAGGTTGCTTGAAACCAATGTATTGAATGTATATATTGTTTGTCAGTGCTGATGCCTAAGCTTTGCACTGTCACGGACTGCGGAGGTACAAGGGCCTTTGTCAGGCTGTTCGCCTTTAGCCCTTTGCCCCTGCAGTGAGCCCTGTATCCGGCTTATTGTAAATAAAAGTACTACTAATACTACTACTACTACTACAGTTCATAACTGGCAATAATCTGCTAAAAAAATTTCGTTAAAATTTGTTTCAATATCGTAAGCCAATTAATATATGCACTCATGCCCCGCCCCTCATTGTAAAAAAAGTTTTTTCAGGCTTTTAGGGTGACATATTAAATGCCACTAGCTGCTTCAAACCAAGGCTCATCTGCTCTAAAATTGAAATTTCAATTCTCCAAAAACTGCTCCCAAGTCAGTCTCAGCCCTGATGCATATACTGTGTGGCACTTAAAGCTCTGAAACAATCTACAGATTTTTTCATGCCCGCATTGCACAGTAAAGTGTATGGCTTCCTGTGATAACCATTTGGCTACAACTTTTCTTGCTTGTATGTCGGAGCTAGATTCTCGGCAGCGCCTGTCAGTTTCTTTCAGCACAAGAACATTATGGGCGTTGTTCAAATGTGAACACTTGCGTGCCTAGTTTCCATGATGACCAGCTTGTGCTCAACTGGTTTCCACTTGGATCTCGCATGTTGTGCAGGACAGTGCACGGCCTGTGCTATAGCAGCCCCAAGAAATGGCCCCCGCTGATCAGTGTGGTGGCCGAGCGGGTGGACGACGGCTCCCTGGAGCTCTCTATCTGGCGCATGAACACAGCCGTCCAGTGCGTCTCTTTTTCCAAGTGGGCCATCCTGGCTTTGCCCCAACAGCCCGTGCTGCAAGGTTCACTCCTTCCACTCCTTTTAGAGCTTTCTAGTTTGCCAATGAAAGAAACAAACTCCAAGCAACAAAGTTGAACGAATTGAGGCCAGCATGAGGGAGCAAGAGGCAGTGTACTATCAAGACTGATGAACTGAATAAGGCTTTTCTAGGTTGAGATGTCTTCACCAATACCACAGAAAACAATGCAAGTGAGTCTTACTTCAGGTGACTGGGAACCTAGCTGCTAGTGTCTCGCTACTTTACAATATGGGGTAGCATTTATTTAATTAAAGGGGCACCATTACAATTTGAAACACCATTCCAATTTCCAATTAAAAACAGCAAAGCTGCTAAGCATTTCTTCAGGCCACCAGAGCACTATTGTCATTAGCCTTCCTCATTTTCTGCTTCTGCTGTCTTCCGCTTAATTCTTTGCCTTGTGCTTTGCTCTCAGGACACATGCGCCTATTTGTTTGGCATGGTAGATTGATGGAACAAGTAAAGAGAGAAACAAAGAAAGCCACGCAGCTTCTTCAGGCTTGGCAGGGCAAAGCTGTCTGAAGCTTTTTTTCATCATTGTATACAAAGTTGAGGTAGCTTTTAACTTCAAGGAGACGACAACACTTACGTACATTTTTTTAAATGCGAAACGTTTCTTAGCGAACTTCGGTGACTTCAAACGTATCTATCTATCTATCTATCTAGCTGCTTACGTTTGGGTGTTCTCATGGTCACCCCCTTATCGTGGCGTGAGCCAAAATTAACATGGGAGGGTAAGATGGTTTGACGAATATGACACGCTGGTCAAGACATGAATAATGTCACAATACGTTGCGTATGTCATCAAACACTTCCCGCTAGACAGTGGCACGTGTCCAGGGGCGGGTATGTGCCGCTGGTATGCGGGTATGTGCCACAGGTGATTGACACTTGGTATCTACCCAGGAACGTCAGAACACACATGGAAAATTTCGACGCGCGAGCGTCAAGAAATACCCGACATTGGTAGTGTCGACCCGACGAATGCAAAGAATAAATTTCAGGGTCGCAGCTGGAATCGAACCCAAGCATTCTGCGTGGCAATGAAGCATTTTACCACAGAGCTATGCGAGGTCTTGGAACTACTTTTCAAATAGACGCTAATCTTCGGGAAACAATAATAGTGGTTGCAGTGCTGCCTACCCAATTTGATGAACATTACATGTGTACTCATTTGATACAGCCGTCACGTCAGGTTAACGTAAATTGTGGTGTGTTGCCATGCGCTAAAGTTGATTTATGTAGCAGTGTCCAGGGCCAGCATCCTCGCGAACATCAGTGCTTCATACCAGCTTCTGGTGTTGCTAATACGCATGTTCCAGTTGGCATCGTTGCACAATTGCAAACAACTGGTTATATAAAGATCTGCAACTCTTTAACTTTGTGCATGCAGCATAAGTACATATATTTAGCGTAATTTCATGAAGTGTCGCTCAATAAAAAAATTGTGACATGGTCACCTTGCCTCCGCATGCTTTACATAACGTTGATTCCCAGGTACGTGGGATCTGCCGAATTTTTTTTCATGTTTCTGATAAGTGTTGGCGTATACTCTCATGTGCAATGAACCAATGCATGAGTACATCTTAAAGTTTAATCATTGGACATAACTTTGCATTCCTGAGCATAAGTGGTTCCTAATAAGATATGCTGATTTTATATTAAAATAGTTTTGCGATAGGTAGCAGGAAACTGGAAAATGTAAGGGGGTACATCTAGCAGGAGACTGGAAAATGTAAGGGGGTACATCTACTTAGGACTGGTAGTAACCACAGAGCCGAACCATGAGGTTGATAGGACTAGAATAATTAGAATGGGCTAGAACACATTTGGCAAGCAGTCTCTGATCATAAATGGTAGTCTTTCACTATCCCTCTAGAGGAAGATAAGGAACAGCCGCATCTTACCAGTAGTTACTTGTGGGAGAGAAACCTGGAGGCTTACCAAGGGAGAGAAGCTTAAATTGTAGACGACGCTGCAAGCGATGAAAAGGAAAATGATATGTTTTAAGGGAAAAGAAGAGAGCAGAGTGGATTAGGGTTGAAGATATCAACCAGGGTTGAAGATATCACAGTAGAAATAAAGAAGAAATGGACGCGGGCCGGTCACGTAGGCAAGATGACCACTGGTTATTGAGGATATCTGACGGATTACAAGGAGACAGAATGTTTGATGCGTTGTTAGGTGGAGAAGGTTGCAGGTATAATGTGGCGGCAGCAAGCACTGGACCGAGACTGAATTGCGGAACATGAGAGAGGCCTTTGCCATGCAGGGGGGCAGTCATGTTGATGATGATGATCAAAGCGATATTAGAATGCCAGAACTTGTATCATCAACAGTGTTATAATACATAAATAAATGAACTATTTTTAGGCATAGAGAAGAGTTTGCTGATGCTATAGGGCCATGTGTTATTAACAACAAATAATTCACAGAGATGATGGGCTGCTTTCACATGTCGCACCTGCACTGATTTCAAGAAGTTTTCTTTGTCTCGAAACAGTGCAGACGTGGGACTAGGAACATACAGGACACAGTGCTGACTACCAACTGATTGGAAAGGCAAAAATAGTACAGGAAGGAGAACAAATATAAAAAGGGGGGGGGGGGGGGGGGGCACAAATGCTGTCCAGCGACTCAGCCAGCCCACATCGTTCATATGGCTATAGTGCACCGCAATGATGACACAGAACAGAGACACACACACACAGCGCTAACTTGCGACTAATATTTTATTCACAATTGTTGGGGCCGAACATTGTACGTTCGCTGAATACTTCTATATTGTTACCCGCCCCGCGGCCTGAATTCCCTCGCCAAGGCTGAAACGATACCGACGGATGGAAGAACAACGACTGTCTGCTAGTCACAAAGGACGTGAAGATTCACGTCTCCCGAGGGGTTCAATTATGGTGCCTTACAGAAGACAGTAGCTGCACAGTGGCGCAGCCAAGCCAGAGGGATGGAAGGTGCACTTGCTGCTTTGCAGTGACAACCAAAGGCAATGGCAATGGCGGCAATGACGCACGGGCCAACTGTATTGATAGCCCCTTGACCTAGCGTTGCACGTACATACTCGAAGGTGCTTCCCCACGACCAGTCAACGCCAGAGGCCAAGCATACCATGTACTGGAGTAAAAGGGAGCAGAGTGGCGGCGGCGTATTGACGAGTGGGCGAGAGGCTGTGGTTCTTTGAGGAGGTGGTGAGGAGGAATCCGGTCCTAGCACTTTTAACGGCAGCCGACCGGGACTAGAGGAGAGAGTTGTTCCTGCTTTCTGATTGGACTGTAAGAGTGAGTGAAAGAAAGAGAAACAAATTAGTGTCTCTATCTAGACGATGTTGAAGCAGCTTTTTCCTCAATGTGCCAGGAGATGAAAGTTCTCGTCTTTGGCGGCAGCAGTAAATGTAGTGAAATGAGCGAGGCAAGTGGGAGAACCAATTGTAACCTAACTCACGATTACACATGTTATTTCTATAATACATCAATAAAACCTCAAAAACACCATGTACAGATTCAGCACTGATCACGCACGTTTTATCACTGATTATGACTATGTATGGGTTCCTTGATAGTCTCATACTGGGGTGACCTGTTTTTAGGAAATTATAACAAGGTACCTGGCAAGCGCGTGAAGCACATTGATGTGATTGCGATTTTTAGATTCGTAGACTGCTATCTGATCATTGTTAATAAGAAAGCTAACAATTTTGACACACTCGTTATAGAAATGCTAGCCATGTTTATGACAGAGTTGTCTCCCCTGATGCTGATGCATGAAGTACCGATGGCTAACTCCAATAGATTTCTAGCCATCAGGCTGTTTTTTTGGGGGGGCAAAGCTCCTTATAGGGGCACCCGTTCATCCCTCGTAGTCGTAGTAGTAGTCATAGTGTGTAACCAGTCTTACATTTTGACCTCCAAGGTGGTGCCGGTGAGAGATTTCTTCTGTGCGTTGTTGAACAATGAAAAATTCGCAGCGTGCGCGTTAACTAAAAGTTGAATTCTCCTGTCTCTCATTCCCCCTTAGCAGCCATTGACATGTACATTGAGCACTATCTGACAAGAAAGGGTTGCTACGTTATACTCGCTGGGCATAACCTCCCTGGTTTTAGAAAGGTTTAACGAGCGTTGGGCCGCAGTGCCATGAATACATTGAACTAGTATATAACATGAACTCGAGGTGGTTAAAGGTGGGAAGTAGACACGAAACGCAAGCCGTAAAAAAGAGTGCGTGTGCCACCTCTTGTTTAGTCCTTGGAATTTCCGCTGGATGGCGGTGCATATGCGGAATATTGTCACGTCACTCCAGGGGGTGTCGACAAGGTTTACTGACGTCTGAGCAACAAGGCTCTAACCAAGTGCGTCGGTTGGGCTTGTTTGCTAGAGCGGGGGCCCATGTGCACTTTTTTCTTCTCTGTGGTGTGAGCCTTCACCTTGCCATACGACCCACTACTAGAAGTAGGTGGCAATATTCCTCCTCAACAAAAAAAAGAGAGCATCGTCCCGATGCTGTAAAGTTATTGAGAAAAACAAAACAAAATAAAGTAGTTTAAACAATGAAAAAGGGCACCAATAATCAAATGTTAGACACGATAAGTTCACCAATGATGAGGCAATTGTCGGAGCACAAATTAAAAAAAAACACAAGAAAAGTGGTCTTTTAGGAACGCGCAAAATAAGGCTTCATGCGCACCACGTGAACTATGTCAGAGGTCGGTTGTTTTCGTTGTACGCATCGTGACGACGTAGCGTCCGGAACTACTTCGTAGTTTACGTCGCTCACGTGGCGTAGTACTTTATACGGACCGAAGTATCTGCTGAGCAACTTTTCGGAGAGGCCACCACGTCGAACAGGGGTTTAAACCCAAACTTGGTCTCCCGGACTGTAAGATACGTCATTGTGACGCATATTGTAACGTCGTGCATCGACCTGTTGCTGCTGACCAATGTGTAGCCGGGCGAGCTGGCGAGTTTCCTCGG